CTTTTCACCCTCACCTGCCTCTATTGTATTTATTTCTTACTAGCAGTAAAGCTCGTTATGAAAGCAATACAACGAGCTCCAGAAAGATGTGATGTGTAACTAATGCATAGGCTGGAAGCAGGTTAAGTACACATTAGGACTATATAATAGAAAGGCACAAATGTGGAACTAAAGTCTCACATACCTTGTGTTACACAATACCTGGTGTCCAAGGTCACACAATGTGGGCCAGAAAATGCAGCACACAGGTCTTCATGGAGTCATTTCTACAATTGGGCACCCTCAATTGCTCCCTCTAAGCTGTGGGGTCTTGTGAGCAAAAATTCTGCTTCTCAGCTAAACATCAACGTACCGTTATCTGCCCTTCTGACGTCAGCTGACTTCTGCCCATCCTTCCTCCTGGAGATCAGTTGTAATTCTGAGTAATCTCCACCCCTCACCTGGAGATTGGCAACAATGGTTCCCCAGGAGGGAATGGCTGGTTTGCACCTGCTGGATGACCTTGGGCAAGCCGTAGTTCTGGCACAGCTGTTCTTGAAAAAGAGCAGTTTCTGTCAGAGCTCTCTCAGCCCCACCTACCTCACAGAGTGTCTGTTATAGGGAGAGGAAGGGAAAGGAGATTGTAAGCCACTCTGAGACTCCTTTGAGTAATGAAGGGCGGGGTATAAAACCTTTCCTCCTCCTCCCAGTTTGGTGTAGTGGTTAAGTGTGTGGACTCTAATCTGGGAGAACCGGGTTTGATTCCCCATTCCTCCACTTGCAGCTGCTGGATGACCTTGGGCAAGCCACAGTTTTGTCAGAGCTGTCCTTGAAAGGGCAGTTCTTGAAAGAGCTCTCTCAGCCCCACCTACCTCACAGGGTGTCTGTTGTGGGGAGGGGGAGGGAAAGGAGTTTGTAAGTTGCTCTGAGACTCCGAGTGAAGGGCAGGGTAGAAATCCAGTCTCCTCCTCTTCCTCCTCCTCCTCCTCCTCCTCCACCACTACTACTACTTCTTCTCCTTCTCCTTCTTCTACTTCTCCTTCTCCTCCTTCTTCTCCTTCTCTTCCTTCTTCACCTTCTCCTTCTTCTCCTTCTTCTCCTTCTTCTCCTTCTCCTCATTCTCCTCCTCCTCCTCCTCTTCCTCCCTTCTTCTTCTTCTCACCTGAACTAATCTCTTAGCAGGCTGTTGCTTCTCCAACAAGTATCAACAATTGTTTCGGGGGGCAGTCATTTTCGAGGAGAACAGAACAGTGAGAATCAAGTCCAGAAGCACCGTAGAGAGCAACGAGACTTTTTGGGGGAAAGTTCAAGCCCAGTAGCACCCTTAACAAAGTTGGTCTTCAAGGTGCCCCTGGACTCAAACTTTGTTCTGCTGATTCAGACCAACACGGCGACCCACCCGAAAGATGTTGGGGGGGGGGGTACCAGCTTTCAAGAGTCAAAGCATCCCTTGTGAGTATGATGTTGTGTATGTAATATAACGTATGAAGGTATGAAGCTTGAGTCTGACCCAGGTATCGTAAACCGACCTATCAGAACAAAAGAAGTTCTGGAGGGAAGCAAAGTGATTGGTCTTTGTGTACAGTTTCTGATTGGTTACCATCTGACATGTGGGCGTGGCTTGCCAAGCCCGGACTGTTTAAAAAGGAGCCTGTTGCTCCATTGTTTGTCTCGTTCTGTTCTTCTGACTTCGTGTTCAATAAAGTTGTTATCACTGTTCACCTGCTGCCTTAGTCTCGTATCTAACATATGAGTAGGAAATATCTGATGGAGGGAGTGTTGACTCTTGAAAGCCGATACCCCGATGGTCCTGTTGGTTTCTAAGGCACCACTGAACTAAAATCTAACTATTTCAAATCAAGTAACTGAAATCCCAGCCGCTTTGCCAACCTGGCTCTGCAAGAGGGTTTCTGGGCTGAGATGAACCGCTGTAAAAATGGTTTCCAAGGAGATGTTCTCTGTTGCAGCTTGCCCGCATGGGCACAGAAACCGGGGAAATAGTTGGCCGTAGTGGCGAAGAGCGGCGGACTCTGATCTTGAGAACCAGGTTTGCTTCCCCTCCTCCTCCACATGCAGGAAGCTGGGTAACCTCGGGTCTGTCACAAGTTCTCTCATTCTCTCACGAGCAGTTCTTGAAAGAGCTCTCTCAGCCCCACCGACCTCCCAGGCAGTGTCCCCTCTAAGCTGAGTTAGTGTGAACTAGCTCACAGTTTTTTAGCCTCCGGCTCACATATTTCTGTCTTAGCTCAGGAAGGATGGCTCCGGAGCATAACTTTAATGCCAGTAGCTCACAAAGTAGAATTTTTGCTCACAACACTCCATAGGTTAGAGGGAGCATTGCTCACAGGGTGCCTGTTGTGGGGAGAGAAAGGGAAGGAGTTTGTAAGCCACCCTGAGACTCCTTCGAGTAGTAAAGGGCGGGGTATAAAATCAACTTCCTCCTCTTCCTCCTCCTTTTCTCATCCTCCTCCTTTAAGATGGGAAGTTCGTTTAGTTTGGAGCTACATAGACTCCTAAGAAGCGTTGGATATTTAGCAGAGTAAATGAAGCTCGGTGGAATAATGAATCACAGACAAGTGTGTTTAAGTTCTAGGGGAAAGTTTACTTCAAAATTTGGAAAAGAAAATGGAAAGAAAACGACAACATTCAAACCAACTCGTCTTTCTAGTTCTGATTCACTCCATCTCGTTTCTTTCTTCCCTCTGCCCCCAAGGAATGGAATTCCCCCCCCAAAAAAGCTCCTCCCCTTGTGTATGTGCAGAATAGCATGAGAACGATCTCCAATATATCGATTAGCCAAAATAGTCAACCTTAAGGTCTCGTCATGAAGAATAAAACCTTCCCCTTTTTGAATCTATTCAGCACCTCATTGGTCCTATGCTAAACTTGCTATTCTTAGCTTACAGAAACTTCAGCTTAACCCTTTCATGACTGAATGGATGAGACTTGCAGAGCTCGACAAGAAGGTTAACGAGGCATGGATCTGTCAGGTACCCAGGTTATCCAAGGTAACCCGGTACAGTTATACGGGCATGAACAAGTATGCCCTATGCCCAAAAAAGTGTAGGTCCTTTCTGCATACTTCATAAGAACATAAGAGACGCCAATGTTGGATCAGGCCAAAGGCCCATCCAACCCAACACTCTGTATCACACAGTGGCCAGAAATACCATCAGGAGGTCCACCAGTGGGGCCAGGACATTAGAAGCCCTCCCACTGTTGACCCCCCCCCCCAGCACCAAGAAGACAGAGCATCCCTTGCCCCAGAGTCCCTATCTATACCTTGTGGCTAATAGCCACTGATGCACCTCTGCTCCATATGCTTATCTAATTCCCTTTTGAAGCCGTCCATGCTTGTAGCCACCACCACTTCCTGTGGCAGTGAATTCCATGTGTTAATCACTCTTTGGGTGAAGAAGTACTTCCTTTTATCCGTTCTAACCCGACCGCTCAGCAATTTCATGGAGTGCCCACGAGTCCTTGTACTGTGAGAAAGGGAGAGACCAGTGCCTGAGTGCCAAGACGTTGCAATATACAAATTGTCTTTCTTGAATGTGCAAGGTGTCCCAACTGTCCTTGGGAAGACATCAGGATGGGCATATAAAGGATGAAGACCATAAAGTCACAGATCAGAGGTATATATCACAACTATGCTCAGTAGCAATTTCTAATAGGAAGTTGCACTTTCCTGTAGCCCCAGGCCTAAGGGTATATGATGCTGTTGCCTCGCTCAGGGCTCAGACAGAGCACATTAATCCCCTTGTCCTGTCCATAAGGTGCGAACTGGGGACAGCCTCAGTTTGCCTCGGGGCCGTGCATGGAAGGGAGAGGGTTAGGTCCACTCAGTTTTGCTGTTCAAAGCTGGTCTTTCTTACTGGCATTATCGAAGGGAAGAAAATCCACATGGAGGTACGAAGCTGCCATATACTGAATCAGACCCTTGGCCCATCCCGCAGGGCTCTTTTTGTAGCAGGAACTCCTTTGCATATTAGGCCACACACCCCTAATGTAGCCAATCCTCCAAGAGCTTACAGTAGCTCCTGTAAGAAGAGCTCTATAAGCTCCTGGAGGATTGGCTACATTAGGGGTGTGTGGCCTAATATGCAAAGGAGTTCCCGCTACAAAAAGAGCCCATTGTCTACTTTGACTGGTAGCAGCTCTCTGGGGTCTCAGGCTGAGGCCTTTCCCATCACCTACTGCCTGGTCCTTTAACTGGAGATGCCGGGAATTCAACCTGCGACCTTCTGCATGCTTTTAGAGGTCCTGTCTTTTCTCCTTAAAACAACACAGCACAGTGCTCCTCCTCTGTCCTTCTCGAAATCTGTCAATCACATTGTTATCCTCACCTGTGATTTACCCTCACAACAACCCTACAAGGTGGATTCGGCTGGGAGACCATTATTGGCCGTAAGTCGCCTAAGGATGACCAAACCAGGTGGGGTCCATGTTTGGAATTGCCAGCTATCTTTTAAACTTAATTTCCAGGCACGCAGTTCCACAGAGCCTTTTCAGGTCTGTGAAAAAGTGCCCGGGTAACACACGCACACACATCCTCCTCATGCTCCATTCTCCAGATATGAATCCGACCTCTGTGAATCTAAAACTTACATTCAACGAATACAGAACTTGCAGCACCTACCTGTTTTAGCCCTGAGCTGGGATTTGAACTCGTATTTTGCCAGTCCTAGGGTTCCTATCTGCCAGCTGGGAAATTCCTAGAGATTTGGAGGGGGGTGGAGCTTGGAGAGGGCGGGGTTTGGAGCGGGGAGGGACCTCCGCAGGGGAGAAGGCCGTAGACTCCCACCCTCCAAAGCCGCCATTTTTATCTCCAGGGGAACTGACCGCTGGTCTGGAGACCACTCGTAATCCTGGGAGTGGCAATTCTTGCAATCGGTTGTAATTCTTAGTTTGGCTGAAGCGGAAAGCGGGAGAGGTCCTTCTAGGAGAAAAAGGAAAGCAATGCATGATCAAGGGCCTGCAGGGATCGACATGCGTCACAAGGTCCTTTTTGGCTTCACGGTTCACTCGGCGGGCCTCGTTGGGGAGCGCTTGGTCACTTGGAAGTGCTCGCATCTCTTCAGCTTCATGGTCAGCCCATAGCGAGGGGTCATGTCCACTTTGACGCCATCCTGGATCGTGATCTGGAGCTCCTGTAGCAGAGTGGTCAGGAAGAGGAAGACCTCCCACCGAGCGATCGTCTCCCCGACGCATCGCCTCTTGCCCAAACCGAATACCAACACCTTCTCGCACTCGTCCCTGTCGATTTCCTTCCCGTTGGCGGAAAGGAAACGTTCCGGTTTAAATGTGGAAGGATCTTTCCAAAGGTCCCTGGAAATAAAGCATGTTTTTACTTCCTTGCTCCTTCGAAGATATTTGTTTCAAAGCCTGGCAATCCTTTGACTATATTTACCCTGGCCCGAAGCTACAGTGGGGTTCTTTACTAATGTTATTAACTTTCTCCTGTTAATGTTTTTATATTATTCCCATGTTATTACTATTTTAATCCCTTTTGTATCAGAATTGTACTGCTTTACTGGCCCCTGCCGCAATAAATTAGATTGATTGATTGAGTGAGTGGGGTTCTTGGGGGCTCCGGCCCCTTTCTTAAAGGGCCAGCCCCACAAGGTTAACTGCTGAAAATGGCAAGGGATTTCATCGTTTTAGGCAGGGGAAGGGTGGGATGTGTTTTTGCATTTCATTCATGTCCGGGGTGGCTGTTGTAGGGGTGTTTCTGCTGTATTTAATTTAATTTAATTTAATTTAATTTAATTTAATTTAATTTAATAGTAGTGTTATTGTCTTTATTATTACTTAAAAGTACAGTTGTTTAGATACAGACAGAAATATAATGGCAGTCCCACCAGAAAATTTTTTACCCCACAAGCCACAAAATCCTGGCTGCGGGCCTGTATTTACCCATTACGTGTCCTATTTTATATATTAATGCATTCATTTTGTTACCTACCTCAAAGGATGAGGGCCGATAACACATCAAAAACCAAATTCTCACAAGTTCTAAAACTCATATCACCTAATAATAATTAGGGAGCATAGCCAAGAGATCCTAAGATTGTCTGGCAGCCTGAAGTTAATAATAAAATAATAATAATAATGCTTTCGATTTATTAATCACTTTCCCCACGAGTGGGCTCGAAGTGATTTACAGTTACACTTTTAGACAGGGGACTAACAATGTTTCATAGGGGATAGGAAAGACAACATATAATTCATTTTTAATTGCACACGCTGTAACTGCACGGTGGAAACGTCTCTGGCTTGGATCAGTCATGTCCCGAACGGCTGCGTCGACCGGCTTGATGACATTGGGGCTTCAGGACCTGTATGTCGTATCACCACACTGCCACCGCCTGGCCGGAGCATCCCACTACAGGGATTTTTCTTGTAGCCGAGTAGTTTCTACTGCCTTCCGATCCTGGAGCAGGACGTCCCAACCGACAGCTAACACCTTCCCACAGGGGAGTTGGTGTGCCCACCCTCTCTAAGGAGTGGTTCCCATTTTATCTACTCACCGAGGCTTTCGAATCGCTGGGTGGACGATGAGCTGGGGACAACAGGCTGGCTGCTCACACCAGCACGGGGCTCAAACTGACACAGTTCGGGTGTTAAGACAGTGGGATATACCCACTGTGCCACCGCTCCCCTTATTCTAGCTCTTGTAGCATTACGCAACACTAGGTGGCGAGCTAGACTTATTTGGGGGGCTGAGAGAGCTCTGAAAGAGCCATGACCGACCCAAGGTCACCCAGCTAGCTTTTTGCGGAGGACTGCCGAACTGTACCCAGTCTTCCAGATTAGAGTCTATTGCCCTTAACCACTATACCACACTGGCTCTCTCAGGTGAAGGTTTTGGAGATACTCACTTATCGTGGTTGACCTGCCACTGGTTGACAAAGACGCACATATCCTTTGGGATAAAGTAGCCATTCAAGATGGTGTCTCTGGTTGTGCTGGAAATAGAAAGCAAATTCGCTCCTTTTAAAAGCCTGTCTCATGGCGACCGGCTAACAGTTACGTGGATTCCAGGTTGATAGTCCTAGTGTTGGACTAGGACCCGGAAGCCCTGGGTTCAAAATCCTAGATAAGGTGGAACCCCAGGCTCCTTGGAGGAAGGACGAAATATAAATATATGCTAGGACTGTCTCACCCCTCAGTAAAATGTTGGTGTCAGCTATGCTGCCATGAAGGTTGGGGAGTTTGGTCTGTATCTGGTTAATTGCTATTGCTTTCCTTTCAGGTTAATTGCCACTGCATTCCTTTCTGTGCTTTCTCTGCTATGCGCCGAAACGCTTATCTATATAGATGTGCAGGAGGGTGTTGTGGTGTCTGGGTTTTCCCTAGGTGTCATGGGAGAGTGTTCGTTCTCAGCTTCAGCTACCTAACGGTCTAGAGTCATTATCCCCCGTGTGGGAGGGTGCCTAATTGGCCAGTGCTGGGGGTGGGGTGCATACGAATACCCTATATCCTATTATGCCCATGGGGCCGCCACCATTCTTAACAGTGCCTATGTTACTGCATATATAGCTCTGCAATAAAAGTATAACCGTTCCCGAATGCGTGTACTTCGTTGTTGGCTGTGGGTTCTGACAGCTGGAAATATAAGATGCTGAAAGGGGCTGTGGGAGTGGGAAATGAGGAAGGAATAGAGATAAAGGTAAAGGTAAAGGTTCCCTTGCTCGAAAGCCAGTCGAATCCGACTCTAGGGTTGCAGTGCTCATCTCCGTTTCAAAGCCGAAGAGCCAGCGCTGTCCGAAGACGTTTCCGTGGTCACGTGGCCAGCATGACTAAACACCAAGGCGCACGGAACGCTGTTACCTTCCCACCGAAGTGGTACCTATTTATCTACTTGTAATTTCTTGCTTTCGAACTGCTAGGTTGGCAGGAGCTGGAACTAGAGACGGGAGCTCACCCTGTCATGTGGCGCGCTCGAGTCTCGAACTGCTGAACTACTGACCTTCCACAGCCTGCAGTTCAGCATCTTAACCACTTGAGCCACCGCAGCTCCAAGGAATAGAGATAGGGATAGGGATATAGGGGCAGGTGCCATGGCTGTGCCTTGACCTGGACGGCCCAGGCTAGCCCGATCTCATCAGATCTCAGAAGCTAAGCAGGGTCGGCCCTGGTTAGTGCTTGGATGGAAGACCTTCAAGGAAGTCCAGGGTCGCTACGCAGAGGCAGGCCATGGCCAACCATCTCTTGATGTCTTTTCCCTTGATCTCATCAGATCTCAGAAGCTAAGCAGGATCAGCCCTAGTTAGTGTTGGAAATAGGTGAGGTGCAAGGTCTAGATCCCAGTCATTATAGGGTCAAACTGTTTACCTTCTGTGCTCTTGTTTAGCCTGACCCAGAAGGAAAGCTGGCACAGAGCCAATGCAAGCAAAGCCCGGGAAAACTGAGGTCTGTTTTGTAACACTGATCGGTTGACGTAATCAGGTGACTTCCTTCTAGGGGGTCAAGAAGAAGGAGATTCTCCATTGTTGTGTGACCATGTGTCTGTAGCTGTAAAGATGTGAACATGTAGCTCTAGATATCTCTTTTATTTCGTAGGTTTCCTGTGTACCCTTTCCCCTTAGAAATAAATTCTTTTCATAGAAAGAAATGTCTCCTCTCCAGTGAAGCAAAGATCCATTGCAAACTCTGAGTGTTTAAGTATTTTTGCCTATTTTTCCCAACAGTAAGAACTTGGATGGGAGACCACAAGAGAAGCCTAGGGTTGCTATGCAGAGGCAGGCAACAACAAGCCACCTCTGAATGTCTCTAGCCTTGAAAACTCTACCATAAGTTGGCTGCGACTTCCCAGCGCTTTCTGCCACGGCTGTAATGGATGTAGAGGTGATGAGTGAGCCACAAAGAGCCTCCTGACTCCTAGACAGCCCTACCTTGACTTTAGAGAATTCTTCGGAACACGTTTTCTGCAGAATTTCTAACCATAGGACTAGAACCTTGGTTTCTCTTTCAAAAAGCCGAGACTCTCAAAACAGACAAGCATCAGCAACAGCTTCCATAGAGGCAAGGAAGACATAGCATTGGAGATCAGGTACTACCGGATACAAGCTTGAGAGCTGGGACATGTTCAGTTGTCTCTTTCAAACGCCCGGGACTTACCAGTGGGGGATTGTGAAAGGTAGGAAGGAGGAATGTCTGAACACTTCTTGGATAAAGGCTTCCGTATAAGGCAGCAGGGGCCGGTCCGACAGTCTTGGCTTCCTCTCGCTGCCGATGGTTTCGTCTGCAGGTCACAGAAGCGAGAGAGAGAGAGACTGGAACCGCCAGCTTACCAGAAAGAGATCTTAAATGGTTACCAAATCCTGGATTTACCTATTTCTCCCTGGATCTTCTTCTGAATTTCGGGATACACTACAAGGTACGTGAGACACCAGGATAAGGCTGTGGTCACTGTGTCGAAACCTGCAGAGATACCAAAAGGATAAATGCTAAGGCTTGTGAGATACTTCCTGCACAATCCTAGAAAGTTGCCTTGAACAGAATCAGACTTTTGATCTATCTAGCCCAGCGTGGTGTTCTCTGCCAGGGTCTCCAAAGTCTTTTTCTCGACCGTTGCTACCTGAGATCCTCAGACTACAGAAGGTAGGTGTCATGATCTGGGCTGTGCCACCAGAGGCCTACTAGGCCCGGGGAGCCTGGCTAGCAGTAGGGGGGGCTGGGCCTACAAACCCCAGAAGGCCTTGGGAAGTTTTGGCACCGATTTTGACCAATAGGAAAGAAGAGGGCTGGGGAATAAAAGAACTGGTGCAAGAGAAAAAGCTGTTCTTCTTCCCAGGGAACAGGGACAGAAGAGAGGCTGCTGTGGGGAAGAAACCCTCATCCTGAGGGAAGGGTGAGTAGTCTAAGGCCACTTGAGATAGTGAGCTAGGGACAGTATATTTAGACGCATTAGAGCATTTGATTTCTTTTCTTTTTACCCACTTACTGTTATTATTCCTGCACCTTGTTTGTTTGACCTCCTATAAAATAAACCATTTTCCTTGCTTCACTCTGCCTGGTCCTCACGCCTATTATTCAGCCAAAACGGAGGTCTGATGGTCTTGGGAGGGTGCTCTGGGCCTTCTCAAGGGATCCTATACCTAGAGTGGTGGCAGCATCAGGTGACACCCCACCTGTGCCATGACAGTAGGATTTGAATGTTGTCTGGAAATACCCCAGGATGTGTCTGTAAAAGCACCATGGTGTATGTGAAAGATCTTAATAGGGACAGACAGCGAGTGGAAACATATCTGTCTCCGTTGTCACTAAGCAATTTTTCTTGGATTCCTTATCTGCAACTCCTTTTTTTATTTTGTTCTAGACACCGCTCTGTCTCTGAACTTTGGAAACACACTTACCAGCACCAAAAATATCATTAACGAGGTTCACTATTTTCTCAGTCGGGAGCTGAATCTTTGTATTTCTGTCCTTTTCTTGGCTGAGGTCAATGAGGGAGTCAGTGATGTCTCGGATGTTGTCCTGAAAAGACAGAGGCAGTTCACACAATCTGTCTGCTTGGGGAGGGTCCAGAACGAAGCTGTAAATGTGTGTAGCAAGGGGGGGCAGATGAACAGAGGTGGCTTGCCATTGCCTGCCTCTGTGAAGGGACCACGAACTACCTTGGTGATCTCTCATCTAAATACTAATCAGGGCAGATGCTACTTAGTTTGCATGATCTGATAGGATCAGTCAGCTGGGAGAGAGCCAGCATGGTGTAGTGGTTAAGAGTGATGGACTCTAATCTGGAGAACTGGGTTCTATTCCCCAATTCTCCACATGAAGCCAGCAGGGTGACCTTGGGTCAGTCACAGCACTTTCAGAGCTCTCTCAGCCGAAACAAATAAGCCTAGCTTGCTACTAAAAGAGCTAGAGCTTCAGGCAGCCAGACAATCCTTGGATCTCCTGGCTACACTACACACAATTCTGTACGATAATTCTAATTTTAATTTAGTCTAGGCTGGGCTATCTGGGTCAGGGCCCCAGTTCCTTACCTTACTGAAACTCTCATAATGGTCTTTGACAATGTTCTGCAGGAAATGAGTGAACCGTTGATTGAATTCCTTGAACTTCTTCATGCTATTCCCGGGGAGGAGTCGGAGCAGGGGGATAAAATCGACGAGGTTCCCAGAGGAGGCGACTTCCACAAACTGCTCGCTTTCGTTCACGATGCCGAGCAGCTGCTGGTCGTCGTGGCTGTGGCGCTTGCCGAAGCACATGGCGGAGACCACGTTGGCCACGGAGACCACGAGGTACCGAAAGGGGTCAAACCTCTGCTGCTCCCGCATCACCTCTTGCAGTTTGGTGACCAGGCGTTCCGCCTCTTGGGAGACGTGTTCTTCCAGCAGGGTGGAGGACAAAGAGCCCGGGCTGGGAGAGGAAGCAAAATTCTTCAAGGCGTTTTGGACCAACTTCCTGCGGGCCGCCCACACCTCCCCAGAATCTGTGCTGAAGGACATGCTCTGGCCGTCTGTAACATGCCGCATGCTGTACAGGTCTGGGCGCCCCATGAAGTCCCCTCCTTGCTTCACCATGGCCTGCTTGATGGTCTCCAGCCCGCTTAGCACCAACACGGGTCTCGTGCCAATGCGGACCTTCATCACATCCCCGTATTTCTTGCTCATCTGCGTCAGGCTCAGATGGGGGTTCTTCCCTATCTCCAGCATGCTGCCGATCAGTGGGTAGCCCACAGGTCCCGGGAGTTCCCAGAGTCCTTGGGGTATCCGCTTCCGGGAGGAATTGAGGGTCGTGAAGATGAGGCAGAAAACAACACTGGCGAGGAGGAACTCTGTGGCCGACATAAGGCCCAGGCTTGCAAGGAACAGCATAATGACCATCGATATCTGCGCCCAAGGGTCCTACCAAATACAGACACAGAAAAAAGGTTCTGGGGAAATATGCTTAGCAAACATGCGGGTCGATACGGACACACGAGCAATACTCATTTGCATGGGTGTCGTGTGTTAAAACACATGACGCTGTCTTCTCCTGAGTTTATTGAGGTCAATCTGGTCTGCTCTGACTGATAGCGGCTCTCCAGGGTCTCAGACAGAGGTCTTTCACATTACCTGGGTCTGCACCTGGGACTTTCCCCAGATGTTCTGCCACTGAGCCACTGTCCCTCCCCTCAGAGAACCAGTTTGGTGTGTGGTTAAGAGGAGCAGACTGTAATATGGAGAACCGGGTTCGATTCCCCACTTACCCACTCGAAGCCAGCTGGGTGGCCTTAGGCAAGTCACAGCACTCTAAGCCTAAAAAATAAACATCACTCGCCACCTAGTGGTGTCAAAAAAGAGCTACAGCTTCGGCCGCTAAAGCCTCTGGGACCTCCTGGCTATTCCACGCACAATGCTATCCGATCCTTGGTCCGTCAGAGTCAGAATCGCCTACTCAGACTGGCAGCAGCTTTCTAAGGTCTCAAGGAGAGATCTTTCCCATCACCTACAATCCTGATCGTATAATTGGAGATGCCGGAGATTGAACCTCGGACCTTCAGCATGCCAAGCAGATGCTCTGTGACTAAGCTGTTGCCCCTCCCCACGTCTGCTCACGAGAGGACTCTTTTGGAGCCAACTAAGTGCAGATAAGCAGGGGTTATTTCCTGCGGGAGCACAACGGAGCAGAGCTCCGGCAGTAAGGAGCCCAGGGGGCGGGCACATGCAACAAGCCCCGTCCCCTGCTTTCAGCAGTCCTCAGTCGGGCCATGAGGAGCAAGAAGCAGCCAGGTAAGTTGCAGAGCCCCCCCCCTCCGCCCGCCTTCAGGTACAAGCTCTCCCACCTTTGCGAGGACAGATCGGCACGTTCCCCCCTCCCCAATAGCTAGCAATCCAAAACAGTCCATTGGCACCTTTAAGACCAAGTTTTATTCAGGTACAAGCTCTCCCTCCTCTGCGAGGACAGATCTGCATGTTTCCCCCCCCCCAATAGCTAGCAATCCAAAACAGTCCAGTGAATCCTGAGCGGTGGGTGTTGCCTTCGGACACACTTCCGGTGATGTCAGGGGGTGTGGCGTATGCAAATGAGTTATGCTAATGAGCTTCCTCACCTCTCTCTACGAAATGATTCCTGCAGATAAGGTTCTATGTGTACTACAGCAGTATACCAAGACTCTGCTACACAGGTGGCGTTGGTGGAGTATTTTCTTCCCTCCATGCCATTTTTAGAATAAAAATTGCTCCCAAGCTGCTATTGGCCCCATTGCTCATAAAAGGAGGGGAGGGGGAGATTGGATTTATACCCTGCCCTTCACTCGAAGTCTCAGAGCGGCTTACAATCTCCTTTCCCTCCCCCTCCCCACAACAGACACCCTGTGGGGTCGGTGGGGCTGAGAGAGCTCTTTCGAGGACTGCCTTTGAGAGAACAGCTCTGAGAGAACTTGTGACTGACCCAAGGCCACATCAGCAGCTGCATGTGGAGGAGTGGGGAATCAAACCTGGTTCTCCCAGATTAGAGTCCGCGCTCCTAACCACTACACCAAACTGGCTCTCCAGTTAAAGCTGCCTAATACCGGCGGGCACCAGAAGAGGTGTTTGTGGGCACCTTGGCTCCCATGCCCACCACGTTGAGGACCCCAGGCCTCGCCTGTGGTTGGCACTTTGCCCATCACGACTAGGAAACTAGATTTTAGCATAAAGTGATTCATCACAGGGTATCCTGACCTATGTGTCACACTCTGAAGCTTGGTCTGTCAATGTTAATGTTGATTAGGCTGGCTGGCAGCCGCTCTCCAGGGTTTCGGGCAGAGGAACTTCATATCATCCATTTCCCGATTCTTTTAACTGGAGAATCCTGGGAATTGCGTCTGTGGCTTTCTGCGTGCCAAGCAGCTGCTCTACCCCTGAGCCACGGAGCAGAGAAATGAACTATTCCCTGATCTATCTAAGAGCCAAACCAGAGGTGAACGTCCAGCGTTGGTCAATAGCAATACCCTGTAGAGTACCTAGTCCGGCAACAAAATGGCTGCCACAGGGGGCGGAGCCAGCCACAAAATGATTACCACAGTTTAACCTAAAATCACACAGTGTAGATCCTTGTGCTGTGGTGGCAGCAGCTGCCAAAGCAACATTTTAAAAAAATCTGCACATCTTAAGAACATAACAAGAGAAGCCAATGCTGGATCAGGCCAATGGCCCATCCAGTCCAACACTCTGTGTCACACAGTGGCCCAAAATACCAGGTGCCCTCAGGAGGTCCACCCGTGGGGCCAGGACACTAGAAGCCCTCCCACTGTTGCCCCCCCCCCAAGCACCGAGAATACAGAGCATCCCTTGCCCCAAACTGAGAGTTCTTATCTATACCTTCTGGCTAATAGCCACGGATGGACTTCTGCTCCTAAGAACATAAGAGAAGCCAATGTTGGATCAGGCCAGTGGCCCATCCAGTCCAACACTCTGTGTCACACAGTGGCCAAAAATACCAGGGGCCATCAGGAGGTCCAGCAGTGGGGCCAGGACACTAGAAGCCCTCCCACTGTTGCCCCCCCCCAAGCACCAAGAAGACAGAGCATCCCTTGCCCCAGACTGAGAGTTCCTACCTATACTTTATGGCTAATAGCCACCAATGGACCTCTGCTCTTAAGAAGATAAGAGAAGCCAATGTCGGATCAGGCCAATGGCCCATCCAGTCCAACACTCTGTCACGCAGTGGCCAAAAATACCAGGGGCCATCAGGAGGTCCACCAGTGGGGCCAGGACACCAGAAGCCCTCCCACTGTTGACCCCCCCCCCAAGCACCTCTTATCAAATCTCCTAAAATCACAGGCAGCACGTTGGGGACCCCAGGCCTAGCGTGTTTGGCACTTTGTCAGTCACGACTTGGAAACCACATAAAAGAACAAAATGGCACATCTCAGTTTATCCTGACCCCAAATGAATAAATACCTGTCTGTCACAGTCTGAACGTGCCTCTCTTTCTGAAACAAATCTGGATCTCCGTCTTCAGCTGGTGGACTAGATCTGCCTTCCCAGCGGGCTCAAGAGATCATTTTATAGACTGCAGCCAGAGGGAAGATCCGCCTCCCCTTCCGTGGCCAAACCTCCCTCGTCGCAGCTGAGCCCAGGCTGACAAAGCAGTGAGAACTGGAGTGACTCCAACGACAACAGTGGAAGCGCCGGGACTTTGGCAGGACGGGGCCCGAGCAAGGAGGTGGCTCGTCAGGTACTTTCCCGATTATCTCCGGCGAGATTGCCTCATTCCTGGACGCCAGTGAGAGGGCCAGCATTTTGAACACACCGTTACACGGGGTTAAGGTTGACAATGGAGGCATTGAAATGGTCCGAGATTTTCTATTCCTTGGCTCAGTCGTCAGCCCAAATCAGAAGGGGACTGAGACTGGGAAGGGCAGCCATGAAAGAGCTAGAAAAGATCCTTGAATGTACGGAGAATGTACCAAGATCAAGACAATTCATAAGAACATCAGAAGAGCCCTGCTGGATCAGACCATCTAGTCCAGCTTCCCGTCTCAGACAATGGCCAACCAGTTCCTCTGGAGGGCCAACAACAGGGCATGGAGGCCGAGGCCTTCAAAAGAACATCAGAAGAGCCCTGCTGGATCAGACCAGTGGTCCATCTAGTCCAGCATCCTGTCCCACACAGGGGCCACCCAGTTCCTCTGGAGGGCCAACATCAGGGCATGGAGGCCGAGGCCTTCATAAGAACATCAGAAGAGCCCTGCTGGATCAGACCAGTGGTCCATCTAGTCCAGCATCCTGTCCCACACAGGGGCCACCCAGTTCCTCTGGAGGGCCAACATCAGGGCATGGAGGCCGAGGCCTTCATAAGAACATCAGAAGAGCCCTGCTGGATCAGACCAGTGGTCCATCTAGTCCAGCATCCTATCCCACACAGGGGCCACCCAGTTCCTCTGGAGGGCCAACATCAGGGCAGAGAGGCCGAGGCCTTCCTAAGAACATAAGAAGAGCCCTGCTGGGTCAGACCAGTGGTCCATCTAGTCCAGCATCCTGTCCCACACAGGGGCCAGCCAGTTCCTCTGGAGGGCCAACAACAGGGCAGAGAGGCCGAGGCCTTCGTACGAACACAGGAAGAGCCCTGATGGATTAGAACATGAAAAACCCTACTGGATTAGACCAATAGTCCATCCAGTCCAGCCTCCTGTCTCACACAGTAGCCAACCAGTTCCTCTGGAGGGCCAACAACAGGGCGGAGAGGCCAAGGCCTTCATAAGAACACCAGAAGAGCCCTGCTGGATCAGAGCAGGGGTCCATCAAGTCCAGCATCCAGTCTCACACAGAGCCTAACTAGTTCTTCTGGAGGGTCAACAACAGAGCATGGAGGCTGAGGCCTTCCCCTGATGTTGCCTCCTGGCTCTGGGATTCAGAGGATTAGTGCCTCAGCCACCATGGCTAGGAGCCATTGCTAGACTTATCCTCCATGAATCTATCTAATCCCCTTCAAAATCTGTTTCTTCCTGAGGCCATCACTACATCCTCTGGCAGCCAATGCAACATTTTAATTCACAGTACGGCATTCCCTTTCACTGTTTTATGGGTGTGAAAGCTGGACAAAGAGGAGAGTTTCAGAGGGCAGCCTTATTGGCCTGCAGTGCAACAGCTCAATTAGAGTCCGGCAGGAGAGTGGTGTAGTGGTTAAGAGTGGGTGGACTCTAATCTTGGAGAAATGGGCTCGATTCCCAACTTGTCCTCCACATGCGGCCCACTTGGAGGCCTTGGGTCTGTCACAGTTCTCTCAGAGCTGTTCTCTCAAGGGCAGTTCTCGAGAGAGCTCTCTCAGCCCCACCTACCTCGCAGGGTGTCTGTTGTAGGGAGGGGAAGGGAAAGGAGATGGTAAGCCGCTCTGAGAATCCTTCTGG